CTCCGTGGCATTCCAACAATTACTCCATTCACACACAGAAGAAGGCAATGGCAAACCACTTCTGGATCATCTGCCAAGAACGTATATGAACAGGTCCCAGTCCGAGAAGAGAAAAGGATGGAATGATCCTGTTCATATGGACCTGTCGTCAGACAGAACACTAAATAAGAAATCTTTTACAGTCGTTGATGAACTCGATTTGTTTTTTACACGTGGACGAACGGCAGATGCGTGCGGTATTTGATGTTTTGTCAGCAACTTCCATATATCGACCGTCTAATTTTCATGGCCCCAATGCTTTACTTGTGTTGTTCATGAGTCATGGGTTATATTTCTGCATCAATGTTATCGCCTCTAGCAAGCGACTTCAGATTCTTTTGAGGGGAGAACAAGAAGAATGCAGTTGATGAGATGGATGTTGCTAAGGTCACTTTGTTACAAGGGACGTGGGTGGTAAATTGTTTGTCCAGACAGAGAAATGTTTTATTTTTCCGAATACGCGTATGTCAACACTTCACACGATAATCTCATTAATTGTATTTATCTCGCAGTATATAAATATCCTTGTTGAGGTGTTAAAGGAATTTCGGAATATGCCTAATTAATATGACACAGAGTATCTGAGATATGGAATAAAACAAACTGGAATCATTGTTGGTGTTCTCATAACCTCCTTTGTCGATCGTCTTATTAGCGCTAGAAAGTGCTTTAGATGTAAACTTCTGATGAGTCTTGAGACTCGTGTGCGTTAATACAATTGTTATTATACGTTCGCTGATAATTTCTAAGTGTCTTAAAACATTAATTGTTGCCACCAGCAGTTGCGTTGTACAGTACAATAAAAATATACTGTTTACTTGAATTAGCAGTAAGCCATTGTAATTTTTTATATATATTTCTTTTGTGTTCGTTGCGTGTTCTCATAAAACAATGCCCATTGTTTGGATGTGTCTGCCGATTATCTGTTGTACCTCATAATCCTCGTTGACATTATACACAACACTCTCAGAACCTGCGTTTCTGACTGAACTAGGACCATGGTATGACTAAAATAATGTACGAAGTTATATTAAACAAGGTAACTTTCAAGTTCTGTGCCGACGTGGACAGATGCAGCAGGTTAAATGAACCACCTGTTGGAAAATAACAGTCCAATTTTGTGTCTTTGGTTTGAACAATAAAACAAGACGTGAGAGATAGGCAGCCATTATAAGGCAAATATAATTCGAGTAAGTGAGCATTCATAGCTCTGAATTTCGCTTTCGCATGATTATAAGGCTAATTTCTGCAAGTAATTTTAACTTTCTATTTAGAATGGTTGAGAAATATCTGTTTAAGATGAGGTCCAAGTTGTTTTCTCAAAGGTTCAGTTTTAACCTGTTTAAAAGTTTAGAAACAATCATTTCTTGAAAATGTCATCATCGCCAATGTTGGTACCTGGTTGTTCGACTATCGATATCCGAAAAGGAATCGATGCGTCATCTTGTGGCGATATCTAGAAATAATGACGTAATTCGCGGTTGTGGTGGCCAGCCTGGTTCACGTCATGTTGGGTTAGGTTAGTGTGTCAACTGCGCAGAAGGTGATGAGCAGTAGTGCCTTACATTTACTTCAATGCATGAACTGCGCTCTATGAATTGTGAAAACATAACGGAATACCATAATCCAAACAATTTATTAAAATAAACAGATTTATTTAATGTACATGGCTTATACAGACATTACACCGAAACTTTTCGTCGTATAGTTTACGTAATGTAAGGTTAGTCATTTCTAGGCAGATTTTGTGAGGCATCAGAGCCTTCAGTTGAGATGCGTACTAACAATTATTGCATTACACCTTATCACACAATTATTTGAACCATTATTTACATTACGATAATCTGAGTATTCACTAAGCATTTTCAGGGATGCTGCAGGGGTTTTACCCCCAAGCCCCACAAGTAAAGGGGCCCTCAAATGAATGAGATATGAATAATATTGGAGGTCTCCCCGAATGGAGGTTTGTCTTTGGGACCCTCAGACTTATAATTCTTTGTTTTAGGAGGGAGCAGTGGCCACTGTTCTCAACCTACTCATGTTGGCAGCAGTTGGTTTCTCAAACAAAGAATCTAAGCAAGGACCATGCTGCACTGAGCGAGGTCTACTCCACTCATCTTGTCGGCAGGCTAGCCGAAGTAATGGAAGACGTACAAAGGATATACCGACGGGTGGGTGTCCTGAAATGTTTACACATTTCTTCTTAGCTTCTTCTGTTGGTATGCTTCTGAGGTAGCTGTAATTTGTTTGTAAGATTTGAGGTTTTCACAGCGGTGAGTATGAAGATTTCTGTCTTCTGGGTTGTTGCGCTGTGTAGTCTGGTCGATGTTAACCAACGTTTCAGAAGTCATACTGCCTCCGTCATCAGAGTATGAAGATTTCTGTCTTCTGGGTTGTTGCGCTGTGTAGTCTGGTCGACGTTAACCAACGTTTCGGAGGTCATACTGCCTCCGTCATCAGGGCGATGATTTTTTTATTGTTAGTGAGGTTTCAGCTCTACCACTGTTCTTAGTAGTTTA